GATATGCATGAAACCAAAACCCACGCTCCGTTTATTTTGAGTGACTGGATTTTTTTATAAATGAATTATTTATAAAAAAATTCAGTCCGTCCGACTCGCTCAATTTAGTCTTTCCTGGAAAACGAGTTTTAAATTACAGATTTGTTTGGGTTTTTCACGTGGAACTTGTTTTAATTTATGCGCTTCCACGTTTGTAATGAACATTTTGCAGAAAGGAAAATTGTCTTTTGTAAGATTTTTAATTTTAAACTATTACAAAATATCAATTTTTACAAAATAAATGAAATTTAATGATAACTGATCAAAGTATAGCTATAATGAAATTCTCTTCTTTCATCAAACCTTTTTTTATTATTATAAAAAAGTTATAGAATGGCGCCAGATTAGCGAGGAAAATTACTTCTTGTGAACAGATTATTGAATATATTTTTAGAAGTGGCCAAAAAGCACTCACTTTTTCCGAAATTTTATTTAATTATTTCTGCTGTGAAGTTTGGTTTTACAAGAAATACCTTCTTTTTGTTTTAAATCTCTGCACTTTGAATCCGTGCTAAAAAATTCAAATTTTTTAATAATTTCAAATTTCAATTTTTCTCTTTCCCTATTTTCGAAATTTTCTGGCAATCAATTAAGGAATTGCTTTTCGCCCCCCACGACTGAGTCGCTCCCCCTCATTTTTCGCCTTTTATTTTCTTTGGCTTCAGGTGAGAGAATTAATTTGATGAGAAAAGCGTCGTCCGCGTCGAGTTCGCCTCTCTTTTTTTCTCTCTCACTCGAAAGAACTAATATTTTGGCTTTTTGTGTGCGTGCTCTGGCGGCGTGGAGAGCTTCTCTCTCGCTGGGCCGCTCTTCACTTTTGATGAGTTTCGTGTTTCATCATCGAGAGAGCATTTTCGTTACAAAACACGCCGGCTGCTTCTCTGCGGATGATAAGGAGCAGACGAGGGTGTGTGTGTGTGGGTGCAGCTGCGTTGTTACCTGGGCAACACCTCTCGCTTTTCCACTCGACGGCCTCTCCTTTTATTATACACCGCTCGGGCCAAAACGAACCAAAAGAAAACTTACACCAACCGCCGTTGATTGCTTCATTGTCACAAATTGATTAAAGACGATTTTTTGTGTCAACTGATAATTTTCATAAAAACCAACATCGTTATTTTGTATATTTTTTTACAGAATTATTAATTTCAACTTCCAGTAGTTGTTGAATTTAATTGTAATTTCTTTACCTTTAACATGAAATCAAACAATACAAACAGCAATTCAAATCCGTCTGCTTAGGACAAAAACTTAAAATCCTCAATTCTGACCTTGCAGATCTTGAAAGGTAACAAGCAGTAACAAGTATAAAAGATATGATGAATTTTGTATAGCTCAAAATTACTAGGAAGCTCGTAAAAATTAAAATTGTATCACTTTAATTTATTTCAGCTTATAATTTAATTTGACAATGGAATTTCACTGTAATTTTAAACATATAGAACATAATATGAGTCAAAAACTTTTGATTATCTTTTCCCTTTTAATTTAGGTGAGTTTGTAATAAATTTTTCAAATAAATCAAGGGCTTAAATTGTGGCTATTTCAAGTAAACGAGTCGTCTTTTTTTACCGCAGTCTAATCATTAAAAGAGCCTTTCTGAAGTTTAATTTCATAATATCTGATATGCCTATTATTTTAAGCTTTTATTATATTATACCCAAAATCTCTCGTCATTTTTGAAGAAAAAAATTGTGACATTAATTGATTGGTAGAGTGATAATGATGAAGAGTAATCAGCATAAATGCTGAGCGTTATTTCGGCATCAGAGGTTTTGCGTGGAGGCCATTTGTCAATGAAAAGTGGAATCCACCGCGAAGCCTGATGATTATTTGTGGTTGGCCGCGATTCATCAGCGGGACAGCGTGCAGGTGGAGCAAATCCAGTGCTCTCTCGATTGCATTATTCAAGCGTTTGCAAAAATTCGTCGGCCATGCTTCTTTTTCCGAATCGTGTGTTATTGTTTGCGATCGATGCAGAGCGAACACGCAGGCGGATCAAAGCGAACCAATGAATTTCAATTGAAACTCGCGAATTAGAAAAGGCCCTCTGCCGGCCGCCGAGCTGCTTTAATCAATATTGCGCCCAACGCACGCTGTAGCTGCCTTTTCGCGACACGTAATCAATTGGTCGCGATAAATGTCGCGTCGGCGAGTCGTTTTCTGCTTTTTTATTGTCCGCGACACGCGCATCAAAGCACCATTCCTTCACACGTAAAATAAATTTTGACTTTTTATAGATAAACAGTTGCAAATAAAATAGCACAATAATCAAGATTGATTCAAGTGTTTACGAATTCTAGCAGTAAATAAAATCTGAACGGATTTACAAAATTTTAGCTTTGATAGGCATTTTTTTCCACTGCTCGTAGAGTTTTGATTTGAATCATGAAATGAGCAGAAGAATGAAGGAATTTTAAGTATAAAATTGAGTTAAATCAACTAATTTTGTAGAAAAAAAATCCAAAAATCAATTTGGCAAATGTGTTAATTGCCCTCGAAAATCAAGTTTAAAAAAACAGATTATTTTGGTGAGAAAGGCAAGAATATGCCAGTCCAAAAAATTTTGCAGAACCAAAAAAATCTGAAATTTTATCTTTTTTTTTTCAGGCAAGGAAAATAATTGAAAAAAAATCTAAATAATATTATTTCTCTACAATTTTGTAGTTTTCCCTGTGTTTGTACTTTTAGGAAAGGCCTGATTCAAAATTTTCCAGGCATAACATGAAAATGTACGTACGAAACGCTATTCCCAGAAGTGTTTTTCCCAAAGGAAATTAGGGTTCGTTTGTATGAGAGACTTTAATTGGTTTGCTAAACAAAAACAACCTGTAATGCTTTTAAGCGCTTTTAGATTTCAGACGGTACGTTTTCCTTTTCACGACATGGTGATAAAAAGACGCGGCAAGTATAATTTCACATTCATTGTTGAACAATTTCTAAATAATTTTAAAGATATTTCTTTTATTTATATAATTTTTATGTTAGAGTTAATCAAGTTTGGTTCGAACATAAAATAGAGTGGAAATCGGTATCAAAAAATTTTTTAATTCAGCCATTTGCTACTTATTTTATTTTCCTTCCAAATTTCAATCTGATTTTAATTTTCCAAATTAAATAACTAGGCGGATTTTGCAGAATTTCTCTCACTGGATTAATTATTTTTATTTGAGCAAAAATAATACCTAATTGCCAAAAATAATACGTTTATTTCAAAGAATATTACGATAAAAAAAAGACAAGACACGCAACATTAACAAATATTTTTAACGAAACTTAATGGAAATAATTTGCAAAAAAAATAAATCTTTACTATTAAGAAGATGATGTTCAACATAAATGTTTTTGCAGTCACTCTACATTGGGTTTAATAAAAAAACCAAGCCTAATTTTTAATTGAAAAAGTTTACAATAAAATTTAAATTTAAAATACTATGTTTTAGGAGTTTTGAATTAATTTTCATTTTGACTGAAACAAACTGGTTTTTGACTAAGGGAGCAACAAAGGGTTGCAGCCGCTGTGTTTGGGGGCTTGTTGGGGTGAAACTGCCCATGGGAGTCGCTCGTAATTAATATTGAAAGGCGTTTGACGCTCGGCCGCCCGCCGCTCGCAAAAACACCTTTTAATTACGCGGGCAGGTGACACGAATATCAAATTCCGCGCGCCCTCCCCTGTCTATACATTTATAAGCATCGATTTTTCTTCTTTTCCATTCTTTTAATTTCACGGGCAATTAGTTGCGAGAGCCGACGGCGCGTTTCCCGCGGGATCAGCCGCGCAAAGAAGATGGAAGCCCAATTCGCGCTCCGAATAATTAATTACGCTTCTCTCTCTCTTTTCCTCATCCGCTGCGAGCGCTACTCTCGTGATGAAGAATTATGAGCGCCGTGCGCATTTCATAATTAATTGGGCGGAAAAGGGCAAAAAAAGCAGCCGGAGGAAAAAATAAGATGCGCGCCTGTCGCCAAAGGCAGCAAAACAAAAAGACGCCGTTTCTTCCAAGAGGCCCCTGTTTTGCCAAACTTTGTCGCAGATAATGATAAAAAAAATTGTTTAGATCTTTACGAATTGCTCTTCGTTTTTATAAACCTTTCCATCTTCTCAATTTGATATCAATTTTTTTATTTATAACTAACAAGAAAATTTTGATATAAACGTAGTGAAATAGTTAATGTTGCATTTTATTTAATTAAAAAGGACTTAAAGTATAATTATCAAGCGCAATTGAAAATTCATTGGTAATCAAATGTCAGTTAAAAACGTTTTACATTCAATGCTTACAATTATAGTTTCACTTGGCTCCCCAAAATATTTTCACAAACTAGCAAAATAAGAGACTTTTATTGTGTAAATTTATGTTTGCGGAAATTTTGAGTATTATTCTTTTTCACTTTTAAAACACATACGATGTGATGTGATAAGATTGTATTTATTAATTATTGTTATCCTTAAAAATTGTCATACTCACAAAATGATATTATTCCTTTTTTAATTATAAATCCTTCAAATTGAAACGAATGAAACAAAGCATTATAATTTATTTCTTCAAATTTACCAGAGGTTTCTTTTTGCCGTTATATCATCTTAATAAACTTATATATTGACAGTAAAAATATGTGGTAAATGTAATTAAATTGAATTTCATATAAAATAAAACTTCCTTCGCACATTTTTCAATTGTAAAGTTGATCATTCAAGACATTCGAAGGAGGAAAATTATAAATATTTAAAAATCAGTTTGTTAGAAATTTCATTAAAAAATCCTTAAATTAATTTAATGTTATCTAATATTAAAATCGCACCTTACCTTAATTGAAAAATTAAAAAAAAACGCAACATATTAATCAACAGCAAAGCACATTTGCTTTTAAAAAAATTAAAAAAAAAATGGCCTTTCCTCTAGGATAGGCAAGTTTATTAATTATTTATTTTTGGAAAAAAAAATAATTATTTTACTCACCTCAGGCCCGGTGACCTCGACCTTGGGAAGTCGCGTTTTTGCGGCTGCGGCCGACGTGGAGGTGGCAGCGGCAGCGCAAGTCGCGCTTCCCTTCACGTGTCGCGTTATTGTCGGCGCTGGGCGAGAACGACGGCGGCGCCGACGCAGCGCGGCGCCGGCCACATGACGCACACAACCAACAACACCGAGGGCAACAGCAGAGTCGACAAAGGGTCAGGGTCGCACACACGCAACTCACGCGCTTTCTTCAAGAATTATTATAGCAGATGAAAGGGGTAGGCAGGTGTCTTGTTTTGGTTCTCAATCTCGGGGTGCTGGAGCCGCTGTGGTTGCCTCGACGGCGCCCTCTCCGACACTACCCGTTCTCTCTCTCTCTCTCTCTTTCTCTCTCTCCCGCGGAAGGGAGAGCCGAGGACGCACGCAGCATCCCGCTGCTGGAGCACCCGCCACGCCCCCTCGCACCGCTGCTGGAGGGGGGCGTGTCCCCGGCGGCGTGAACTCGTGACCCACTTTCGACCAATGGCGGCGCCGCACCCCCTCCCGCCCCTCGCTCGCCCCCGTTCATCCCCGACACGCATTTTTCTGCTCAATGGGAGCGACCGAGGGCGCATATTGCATTGTTGGTGCAACAAACGCTTTCAGGTAACAGGTGCGCGCACCTGCCATTTAACCACTCGCCGCCGCCACTCATAATTACACACGCGCGGCCTCGCTTTTTAATTAATCGCATTCGTCATTATTTTAATTACATACACGTTTCGTGCTCTATTTTCTGCACTTGTTTACTTATTTGAAAATGTATTCGAATTTTTTCCATGTTCACTGCTGGCAGAGTTTAATTCGCTGACGAGGCAGTTAAATAGTGCTTTAATCCTTTAACCTTTTGTATGTACAAAAACAAAATAATGTGCTTGAATGACCATTTAATCATTTACACCGAAGAACAAACAAAAAAGCAACTGATATTCAATAATTTAAGGCTTTAGAACATATTCTATTGAATTTTTGAAACCTAACATCAAAAGGATAACTATTTGAAATAAAGAAATAAATTTTTTAAATAAAATCCTTGTTCCCTTCCAGCTCTTGTTAATTAAAAGATACAAAATTTAATTTCATACATTACATATTTTTTAACCCTTTTCCAAATTAGTCAGAATAATTTGTTTAATTGTAATAAATGAATCGGTATAATTATCTTATTTCATCAAATAATTAACCTCAAATCTAAAGTTTATAATTATAAAATTATGTCTTTGAGATAAGACAACTCTAGTGCTTTTATGGGTACTCTGGAATGGCTATCGGATGCCTTGCCCAATAGTACAGCATGTGGCATTCTCATTAAAAAACAATGGATGGCAACGAAAGCGGTCTTTTTAGTACTTTATGCACTTCTCTCATAAAATAATAGTACCGTGTTTTAAAGTAAATATCGGTGGAAAATATTTTGAGTTTTCTGGGATTAATAATTTGCTAACGAATTATAATTGAAATGATCTCATAAACAAACAAATTTGGGAAGCCTCCAGACACATTTACTGTTTTCTTGATAGCGAAAGTTTTTTTACTTACATAAATAATAATTAAATTTAGAAAAAAAAATTGGTTTTCATAATAAAAAAATTTAAAATCTGATTTCAATAAAAAGACAATAATTTTTACACAGAAATAAATTTCCGTTTGAATAGAGTGCAGAGAATTTAGAGGAGTTTTGTTTTTATGAAATGAATTTTTGTATTTCCGTAAAATGACTGAGCTTTGAACTTTGAACAATGTTGAGTGCGGTTTTAGGGTTATGCATCCCGCACAACAGATATGTCGCACGGGTTGCCTGTTTCGCCGAGTTTGCTCTGCGGCTATATTGGAAACGAGGAAAATGCAGAATCCATCCTCCACTCTCGCAATCCGAAACCAAGAGAAATTTGTTCGATTTCAGCGATTGAATTTCGAGTTTCGTCTGACAAGGCTCCACCGATCTCTCTACACAGCAAACATAATTATTAATATATTGTGAATATTATCACTTTTTTCCATTACTCCTGGCATGAAATTCAATTATTTATTTATTATTAATTATTGCCAAAGGGAATTGAAAAAGGGTTGCCAACCGAAGCGTCTGATTATCATTTCATCGCGTCTGATTGCCGGCGACACGCTAATGACAGAAGCGTGACCGGTTTGCTGAAAGGGAGGCACGAAATTTCACTCGGAATTACAGCCGGATGACTTTAATTGCGGTTAACAGCTTTCGCGAGTGCAGCGCGCGTTATTTAATATTCATCGTCGGTGCGCGCGCGAAAGCGGGCGAGACTACTCTCCCGGCCCAACTTGTCTAATTGGCGCAGCAGGAGAAATTAACGAGCCCCCTCGTCACACACACACGCGCCTTTCAAAGAAGCAGTCAAATTATTTCAAGCCTTATTACAACGCATCAGCGTGGTTTTCTTAATTCATTAGCAAGGCTTTCAGTATGTAAACGGCTTCACAAATTGATTTTGAAAATATTTAAACCCAGGTTGACAACCTGCAAAGTTTATGTCACTATTTAAAATCTAGTTTTTTTATTATTATATAATTTTATGAATATTTAGATGTTGAAACTGGATAAAATTTTAAATTTTTTAATCCTGTTTAATTTTTTGAAGAAAATTCTCTTATGAATAAAAATTGATTTTTATTTATATTTCAATTTGAAGAGTTTGTAATGTTTAAGATAAAACGTTGTTTTTGTTTCAATAGCAGATTTATTTGAAAAAAATTATTGAAGTTAAAAGCACAAAAAGTTAATTGAACCTTTAAATTTTTATGCTTTTTATGGTAACGAATTCTCATAAAAAAGCTGAAATAAACTCACTAATTCAGCCAAAATTATCTGAAATAGCAAAATTTAATTTCTACAATATCAAAAATAAATAGTGGAATTTTCACCCCCCCCCCCCCAACACACAAAAAAACTTTGCTAAACACAAGCCTAATTTTACTTATTAAATATTTCCCAATCAGGTTTCCATGCGGAATCCAGTTTTAATTTAATTAACTTTGATTTTCTCAATAAAAAGCAAATTGCTTGTGTGTGTTTCCGTCACTGGAGCTCGTTTTTGCCTCTTCTTGGAAACCTGTCTCGGCAGGCATGAAGCGTGTCGCGATTAATTAAAAGCATTTGTCAGTCACAACAATCGCTCTTCAAAGGACCCGCGTGTTTCAACTTCTCTCCTCGTCTCGGACGGCGATCAAAATCAATAGACGCGCGCTTTGTGTGTTGCCCTCCCACCCTCTCGTTCGGATTTCAAAGTTTATTCGTTCTCAATCAAAGGCTCTCTCTCTCTCGGCCGGGCAGGATAAACGGGAAAAGTTTTTTAATGGAGACAGCGAGCGCGCAGCTCCGACCAACCTCTCTGCTCTCCTTTTCTTTATTGCCAAAGTTTATATAAAAGAGAGCGAGAGAGGCAAGAACGAAAAAAATGCCGCGCGCGTCTCGCAGGAATTTCGCCTCCGACGGACGAAGCAAGTTAGTTATTTCGCGTTTAATGATGTGCCTGCTGTTTATAGAAAGAAAAAAAATTCATACAAAAACATCAACCGTGGAGGGCTTTTTTATTTTTATCCAAAAACAACTACAGTTCTGTCGAGAGGAATTTTGCCGTCGAGGGCTGCTTTTCGCGTTTTATTAACGGAGAAAGAAAGAAAAGGCAAAACATGCCTCCCTTTTAATTTTGTCCCGCCCCGAGCGAGAACAAAAAGCAAAGTGCGACACAACAAGCAAAGTTGGATGTATGGCGCTCGTTAGGCGTCCGATTCGGCAAAACTTTGCGCCGCGAATTTGCATGTGAATCCGCACGCCGAGTGCGAACTTTGCATTTGTGAAGGGAATTTTTGAATGCGGATGGCGACGATAATTAGACTCGCTGCTCACCGAGTCGCGAGACCCAGCGATACCGACTGCGGGCTGCAGGCCAAAAACGACGGGAATTATCAAAAAGTGCAATCGCGCGTGAAAATTGAAACGCGTTCCAAGCATTTTGATGAGAGGGAGGGGTGACAAAAGCTTCCAAAGTGGCTGCATTTAGTTGCATCAACTTTCACAGGAGGCACGGAAAAACGTTATTTTTTAGTATAAAATGTCTTTTTCATTGTTAAAAATTAATTTCTTCTTTGACGAAAAAGGAGACTTCCAAATCCTGTCATGCGATTCTATTTTATGAGAAAATCCACTTCTCGCTAAATAATAAAATAACAATACAAAAATGAACTTAAAATCAATAAAATTAAATCAAATAAAGAAACAGATTTTTTTCTTAACCAGGAAAATTTTTCTCTCACTCAAAGTATTTTAATTTAAAGCCATACATTTTTTCTTGAATATAAATGAAATTTTATAATTAAGAAAAATGCAATTGTTTTTTTTTTCTATTTTCACGAGAAAACGCTCGCTGATTAATGCGAAAGGTTGAGAGAGGCCGGGGATTTATAAATTGGTGTTTTTCTTGTACTAGATCGCAGACCTTACAAAATTGAGGGTTAAAAAATTTCATATATACAATCAAAAAAATAATACAAGGCACTCAAAATGTTTATGATAAAAAAATGTTTTCTCTCAAATGAACCCTTCATTTGATTTAGTTGTGTAAAATTAAATATGATTGGCCAAAACCTCAAATTAAAAAATTGAAAAATAATAAAACTTCTCACTAAAATAATTGATACAGACCAAAATGGAATCTATTAAGCTGTGTTAATTTTCAATTCCGAAAATAATTTTAAAAAACAACATATATTTGAAAAAAGGTGGTATAACTTTTGCTGAATAAGTGATGCAATAAAAATTTAAATTAGCCTCAAAATTGTGTTAAATTTAAGTATTCTTGATACTGAAGCCAGGGGGCTGTATCACCGTGTGTGCAATGATGTGAAATATCCTATTTAAAATTAAATTTTTTCACATGGCATATTTCAGAGGAATGATTTATTCCAAAATCTGGTGCACAGATTTGCACCCAGACGGATCGCTTATGCTAGTCTCCCTGTTCACAGAAACGTGTGTTGTTTCAACAGATAATATCCGGTAGAATTAAACATGCAAGTGAAGGGGGGAATAATTAAATATCACATGCCGAAACAAAAATTATTAAAATTAAATACAATTATGTAAATATAGATATAATAAAAACCGGTCTGACAAAAATTAATTACTTAAAATACGAAACTGTTTCTAGCTCTATTGCAAAGTAAGCAATTTTTTTGCAAAATAAGTAGAGACAAGCTTCAAGGAAGATTCAGTGTTTTTATTTTTTTCAAACAAAATCTTAATAATTATGTGGATGTTCCAAATTACAAAAGTTGGAACGTGGGCCTTGAATAAATTGATTCGCTTAGTTTAAAAGTTCAAAAGCTTTTGGTGTGTTTATCTTGTTCAAAGTGCGTTTTCAAGCGCATTAGCAGTTTGACTCAGTTTGCTGGCTTTGGCAAAAAACTCTCAAACCAAAGTTTTGGTCAAAGCTACACACGGTGCGCCTCCGACTTGGAACGCTGCCACGTGGCAAAAGGTCGCTCTCGCCGCCGCGTGCTTTCGTCGTTTCTTGCCGCTAAACTTTGCGTTAATGAAGTTTTTCCTCCTTCTTTTTGCCTCGCCACGCGGAGTCAAAGTTTCTCTTAATTCTGACGAATCCCTCCCGCTGCTCTGAACTCATTCCACGCAGCTTTTTTTACCGCACGATTTTTTTTTCCGCTTTCCACGAGCAGAGGCAAACGACGCATTGTGCGTGCAAAGTGCGATTTAATTTTTCCCCTGCAACGCACCAGCAACAGTCATTTAATGCCTAAAAACAAACTCTTAATTATTAAAAAGTTTAATTTTTTAAAGGATGCACTAATTGTCAATAGGTATATATAATATCAATAACAATATATTTGAAAGTTTGGATAATTTCTCGCCTTCAGAATTTCCGAGTAAATGAAAATTTTAGTCAATTAAATCAAAATGAAATTTAAAAAATGATTTTTTGCTTTTCCGTCCATGGGTTCACGGAACCCTGGGCAAGCGCTCGGAAGCTCAGGTGTGAGAAAATGCCTACCTTGAACTGCTGGCCGCCCTGGTTTTGCTTCACTTATTTCACTTTCTCGTTGAACTTGCACATTTTCCACTCGCGAATTCGTGATAAGAGGTCCCCTCAACTCCGCGAAGACATTATTTTCTTTCTAAATTCACCACCAAAAACTTATCACATGCGACTGTCCACGCTTCGCCACAAATACCTCTGTTTACAAGGAGTCTGTTCACGTCTTTTTTTTTTCTAAAAATGATTGATGACTTTTGCTGATTCCAAGCTTCTGATTGGCCGATCTCCTGACATGAGCAATTTTTACAATTAACGGCGGGAAGGGCACGCATGTCATTGTAATAACCGCCGATCAGACCACATCACATCCTCTCAAATATATCTAACAAATTGATCATTTCATTTATTTGGCTTCGAAACAGCCAGCAATTTTTAGAGAACATTTCATTTATCATGAAATTAAATCACCCATATTATAAATAATAATAAAATTAAACAAAAATTAATTTAGAAAACAAGAAAAGCATAATTTTTTCATTTTAATAATATAGAAAAGTAGCTATTGTAAATTTTTAGTATTAGAATAAAAACTGGATTTCTTTGTTTTGCACACAATAAACCTAAATATTCTACCTTAGAAAGAAAGAATGACAATAATGTACATTTTGCCCTGGCTTTTGATGCGATTGGAAAAGTTTGGTTCGCCATGAGTTTGTTAGAAAAAATATATATTTTAAATTGTGAACTCTTCTGAACTTGAAAAGCATTCTTAATTTAATAAACCAAAATACACCTGTCATAGCTCAAAATATTTACAACAAACGTAAATATTTTTCTTGGTCGTGAAATTCAACCACTTATAAATATAATTAGAACCATATATTTTGATTATATGGAATCATTAAATTCGCTTTTGAAAATGAAATGCTCTATAGTCTACCTCAATTTCAGAATTCATCATATAATTAAATTGTTTTGTTTTGATGTAGAAGTAAATTCTTATTTTGAACCGCAAAATTTATAGTTAATATTAATTGGAATTGCATTTTATTTCTGTAAAATACTGTAAAAACAAGTGAAATAAAAAATTTCCCGAATATTATTAGTAAAAATATAATCACATTATAATTTCATGGTTTTTGTAGGTAAAAAACCTTCCCTTTCCATGTTACATTAATATTGTCATCCTCTGGGCATCTTTTGATTACAGATGAAATGAGCAGGCCTTTGGTACACTTAATAATTTTATAATCAAGGAAGGCAGTTATGGTTGACGACTTTCCGAAAAATAAAAATATCCATCAGAATATAACTGAATGGGCCTGCTGCAATTTGATGTTTCCGATGTTCCTCGCCGCATAATTGCCGTGGAATCGTCGCCGCTCTCTCCGTAGTCGTGAGAGTGTCGTTAAGCTGCCGCAGAACGTCGTTCGCTCTAATTGTTGCCGAGCGCATCCGATTTGATGCAACTTGGAAATTGCTTCTCGGTCGAATCTCCACCGTCTGGCGTAACAACAAAACGCCGAGAGAGAAAGATAATAATCTGAATTTGCGCGACGACGCGCGGCGAAACGACGCGAGTTTAATTACGAATGCTTGTGTACATTTATGCGTTCGCTACAAAGGCCGCCGACGGCTAAATGCGATCGTAAAGCACCGCGCCATTCTCATCCTACTCGCGAATACTCATCTAATTATCCAACGCTGGAGGCAACACTATTCGGCGCGCTCTCAGAATATGGCAAAATAATTTGAAACCAGACGCGAGTGCGGTGCCGTGAAATAGTCGGGCTCATGAAGACGGGAGAAACATACAAAATACAAGAGGGCTGAAATTTAGATTGTCCTCCTCTATATAAAAAAAACGAAGTTTATAAAAATAGAATTCTAGTTTTATTTTTTTTTTTAATTTCCCCCCTTTTTTTGCAAAATCGAAAAAATTTTAACGAATTAATTTTTAATAATTTGCGTGAATCATGTAAGTCGTGCATTGTTGTGTAGTTTTTGGCTTTGGTGGTTCCCGTACAGCCAGATCGGTCTGTGGTTAAAAAACGTTCAAAGTATCCAAATTTAATTGAGGAAAATTGCTTAAAGTTCATGCAAATCAATGTATTTTTGCCTATTCTGCGAAGAGAGTAAGCTATAGAGAGGATATAAAGTGGATTGACGTTGTGAGCAGCAGCTTTTAGCACACAGTGCTTTATACAATTTTTTTTTTAATTTGAATTTCGCGCTCTCGACTTGACTTTTCCCACCACCTCGGAAAACACAGCTGGACCATGCAGGGCCAGGGCAGATCGAGTGCAGGATTAGCTCCAATCAGTCCAATCGTGGGAGATCAGAACTTGAGTTGACTCAATTTACGGGTTCAGTCGGGACTTTTGTTTGTTGTTTTGTGAAAACTCCGAGGAAAATCAAGATTTTTCTTTGTGCAAGTTTAGTGGATGTTGCTGCGGCTTCAAGTTTCATCATCAATTAATGTAGATCACTGCTTCAAGGTAAGATCGAGCTTACTTTATGAAACTAAAATTCCTTATGAATTTCATGAAATTCAGTCTATAGATATTCTTGAAATTTTTATAGCAATCTTGAAAAGGTGGATATAATTTAGTGAAATTTGAATTTAAATTGAAAAATCAAAGTTGGGCAGAAGAACAGGCCGCTGAATAAGGGAAAGGGAAAATAATTCAGTCTCGCACACACATGTGGCGTTGCGAGAGTTCAGACGTCAAAAAACACAGCCGAGCAAATTTACATGGCCCAAGCGGAAGGAGAAGGGCTGTGAAATTAAATGCCATAATAAATGTGAGTTTCTTGTTTCACAAAAGCAGGCGGACATGCCGGCGGCGGCGGCGGCAAGGGGAACACGGATTGTCTTCTCTCGGCTGCATACATTGCGACGAGCGGAGAGGAATGTGCTCGGTGTACATATGAAATCAGAGCAAAAGAGCCGCTCTTTGTCGTGTGTGCCATGCACAGGGGCATTTAAATGTAAAAACACGCGCCCAGGGCTCCGGCTGAGCGCACCCGAGAGCCGCCACGATTTGTTCGTTCGAACCGGCGTCGCTTTTACGTACCCTGGCCGCGTGACCAGAATAAATTTCCTCTCTTTTTACAGCACCAAAAGGTCCGAAAACGCACCCTCTCTTCTCCCATACGGCAGGGTTGCTCTCAACCTGTCCTCCCGTTGCCGGAAAAGTGCCAACAGAAAACGAAACAATTTTGTACCGGTTCCATGTCATGTGATCTCCTATTGGTAAATATTCAATATTTGCAGCATAGTAACAATTCAGTTGAGACTGGAGAAAACTAAAGAAATATTAAACTTTTAGATTTTAAAATTTTTATAAATTCAAATGAAGATATTTTATTAAACACTATATTTTATTTGCTCATATATCTCTATAATATTTGTACAAGATCATTGCACAAGATTTATATGTATTTTATTTTCATCCAATTCTAAATGAATCAAATTAATTGTTAGTTAATTTCATTACATATAAGAACCAAAATCGAACAACTCTTCTTATTTTTATCTCAGTATTCTGGAATGTTGCTGGTTCTATAATTAGATTTTTTTCTATTATTTCACTGAAACGATTTTCGGATATATATTTTACAGACCTTAATATTACAATATTACTTATTGTTGTGTTTCTTGTAACATTTTTCTCATGTTTTCCATATTTTACTCAATTTTACTTATATAATAATAATAATTATTATTTTAAAAATGACAATAGTGGTGCATTCCAATTAAAACGAGGCTTGCTTGGGAAAAATGAAATCAATTTCCTTTTTTCAACTTTGTTAGTTTTTTTTCAAAATGATCTATGATGTAAGATTAATGAAATAATGAACATGATTGAAACTAGAAATACCTAATAAAATATGAACAAAATTTAAGAATTTTAAATGGTTAAAAAATAGCGCATAAAAATCTTCACAATTAGAATTAAAATTGCTCAATAGAATTAAGGAAAAGTTAAAATCACATAATAAATTTTGATTCAATTCATATTATTTCATTTTTTCTCCATTTTTAAGTTTACCCAAAAAGGAAATAAATAAATAAACGCATAATTATATAATAATTTATGTTATGTTTTTCTTGCTAAAATATCAGTTTTGAATTATACTAGCCTTTAGTTAAAATAATCAATATTCAAGTTGAAAACAAATAAACGGTAAGATTTGAATTTTCGAGTAATCACAATAACAATTTAAAAAATTTCCAACTCAAGACATCATTGAATTCTTAAATTGTTTATCTCTGAGCAAAATACGACGAATGCGACTGGAATTATAACCTGAGCCTGCTGGCATTATATGAAGTTTATTTTGGCGTAATCCATCTCGCGCGATTGTGGCCCCCTATACCTGCGGAGGCTGGAGGGCTGGTGGCGGGGTTGCGTGCGAGACTTTGGTAAATGCCGCACGTACGCTTAATAAGAGGATCCAGAGGTAAAAGGCAAACAGCCCGCGGAAACGCAGAAAGCTAACGAGCTACTTGAACTCGGCTGAGCCGCACGTAGGTAAATAAATAAATGCTCTGTGTTGCCTGCGAACACACTCCCGACAAGCGTTTGCATAACGAACAGACCTCACAACTCTCGCAGCAACCGACCGAGCAAAGAAAAAACTCTTCAGATGCAATTTCACTTTTGATCCGAAGCGATTTCCACGCCCCACGCCAGTTTCTGTGGGGGTGCATTTTTCAAAACGGAGAGAGAGGGTGAAGCTGTTTATCGAAGGCACCGAATTTTGACATTCAACTTCTGTGTTCAAAAGGGTGGCTTAATTTTCAAGTTCCTTGAGAGTAAATGGTCTCTCAGCGTGTGGTTAATTTGAACCGACCAAAGTATCCTCAAAAGGTTGTTGAATTTTTTAAAGCTTATTTTAGCACTTTTTAATGAAATTCAGATCAATGTGCCTAGTAAATTTTAAATCTTTTATTAGTTCATACTTCATAATGGAAATTAGTTTTGTAATAGAGAATTTGTATTCAAATCCCATTGAAGTGTGTAATTTAATGTAATTTTTTAGAAAAAAAAAATTTTAAAATTTGTAGCTGATATTTTATTGTAAACTGTAAAGCATATTATAAAGTACATTGCAATAAAATAAAAAAATACAAAAAATTGAAACTTACGTATTTACATAATGGTTTGCGTTATGAGAACTTCTGCCTGTCTAAAAAGCTGTGCCAACAAACGCTCCTACTATATAATTTTCTTTTTCTTTCCGGTGCAAATTACAAATAATTCTTGCCACCCTTTCGTGAGCAAACAGATGCATTTCTCACTTTTTTGCCAAATAAATTCAGTCTTGCTGAAGTTACTATGGAGTTCAGCAGGACGCTTCCCTTTCTCCGGTTCTACGGCTTGTCCGTCCCCAGCATGAAGGCGTCCGGACTCCTGGAGTGGCTGCTGGACGCCTTCCTCACCCAGGAATTCCTCGTTATGATCTTTTTGGTGGTTTTCAAAGCCGTCTCAGACGACAAGGTCACCGTGCTAGACGTTTCCACAGCTTTTTACTACACGGCCCTTGGTCTGCAGACGACCAACCTACGCATCTTTTTTAGCGCCAACAGGGCAAAACTCATGACGCTCATTCAAGATTTTGATGGTATTTGCACATTCACTAAAGTCATGGAAATTTGGAACCTTTGTTGTTTTAATGCAAACCCTCAACTGTAGAATTTGTATTGTTCAGTTGCAAATTATAATTAATTGATCATTATCTGAAATTATTTATAAATTCAAAATAATAAACTTTATCGCAGACAGGTGAACGCAAAGTTGTGAAACGGGAACCATGTAATATTGCTGCCTCAACCTTTTGTTTCTAAAGTACTGACATTTTTGGGGGCAAAAAGTAATTACAACCGTTTCTGATTCTCTCAGTCAAGAAAGTTTTAGTATTGGCTAAAATTGCTTTTGCATTCTTTCTGATGAAAATTTAAAGCTAGAGTGTTTTAATAATGCGATCGTACGGAAAAAGTGGTTTCAGAATTTGATCTGCCGGCGCTGAGAAGGCATGAGCAGCAAATGAAAAGCAACTCCATCAAACTGAGCACCCGCTTTTTGATCTGCCTCGTCGCCCACAACCTGATCATGAACGTGGCTGCACTCACATGGCCTCTCGCTCGCATGTGATTTTATTCTTCGCAAGTCAAAACAAAGTAAAAAAAAACTGCATTTATTTTAGCTTGATCGTGAAGCAAATGGGTCCGAGCGAGCACCCTCTGATGAACAAGGAAAAAGACCAGCTTTTTTTGTATAATATCTGGTGGCCGACGGACGCACGCCAAACTCCCACCTACTTCTACCTCGCAGCATGGACCGGTGAATTTTTCATCTTTCAAAATAACCATGCATTGTTGAATTAATTATAATTAGCTTTGAGCCTGATCGTCCAAACGGGTGCCGCCACCGGTTCGAACATTTTTCTTTCAAATTTGATGGTTTGCGTCTCTAAAAGAGCGGAGTTTCTGAAGGACACAGCGACCATCGCGCTGGCCAACGGCCCGTCCTTTAAGAAGGTGCCCTTGCGAATGAGGCAGTGGATCAGATACCACCAGTACTACATCAGGTTATATAAAATCAAGATTTATTTTTATAAATTTAAACCGCCGGAATTAAGTCTAGTGCACAAAATAAATCTGGTGTGCGGCTTCACTGTGATGCTGGACCATATCTGCTCTATCTACCGCCTAGTCCACTTTGGCTATATTTTAACAAACGTAATTTCACTCTTAAGGAAATATCTAAAAAAAAAAAATTCTCTATTATTAAATTTATTTCTCAATTTAGTTTTCCACCTACGGAACAAGCTACTATACCTTAGTACCCATTTCTAACGCACTGTTCAACTTGCTGGTGCAAGCCCTGGCCGGCCAACAGGTCATCAACAAGGTATTGCAGCATTATTTTATTCTAGCCGAACATTTGCTACATTTATTTCTCTTGTAGTGCGTCGAACTGAACAAGACGGTGGTCAGGGTTGCGAACAACAATCTCCGTAGCGCTGAAGGCCAACTCAGGAACACCCTGAAAACACTCAAGGCCAGGTGCTCGTGCGGGGTCGTTGAAAAAATCACTGGCGTTGACCTTTTCGTCGTTTCGGTGCATTCTCTTTTCAAAGTGGGCATAATTATTATTTTAGCACGTGGTGATTTAAAACAATTTAATAAAACTCTGGCATTTCAGGAGATCAGCCTTGTGGTGAGCGTGCTTTTAGTTGTGTCACAACTTGGATAGATTTTCCTGAAGCATTTCACTTAATTTATAATACTTTCATTTAATATCGGTATAATTTAAGAATTCATAAATTACAATCCACACGACTTATTTGATAATATTTATCAAATGGGTGTGAAAATTTTGGTTGTAACTATCAAATGAGTAAAAAATATTGTAACATAAAGCACAAAAAATAGCAAACAATTAAAGTTTTTGCACTTAAATGCAACATGTGTGTAAATTTCAGTAGAAAAATATTTGTTAATTAACAATGCTTGACTAATTAAAATGAGAAATTGCAAATACGTATTTGTTCATCTTCATTTTGTTAAATTAAAAAATTATAAATTTTTAAGCCCAAGTCAATTTACAAAAGTAGAATGTCTGTTGAAAATTATGAGCGTGTTGTGTCGTACTAATTAAATTAACTGGTTTAGTTTTCGGAGACAAAACAAAGTGTTTATTTAATCTCCAAACAACCTTCACGGTCCCTTTGATTAAGATTATGCAGTCAATTTTTTCTTTTACTTTTCTTCTGTTGATCGCAGAGAACATGTAATTTCATCTTCCTTTTGAGTTCACCTCTCTGTGCATTTCCACCACTCAATCATTTCTCAAAGGTGTGTTTCCTCACACGCAATATTCAATTAAACTCGTTCTCGCTTGTGGGAGTGCTTGTACGTGGCAATTTCCTTTAGTTAATCAAAAATTGTAGCAGAGAAAAAAGTAAATGAGTGAAATTTAAATCCGCGCATTCCATCACCGCTCTAAATTAAATCTGGCTAAAAGCGAGCATAAAAACTTTGAATTGTTTATATATTCACGGTGCGGGCGCGAGCGCAAAAAGTACAAAGATAAAAACAGGTCTGTGAATGGAGGGATGAACGCGTGTCCCATTTCGGATGTGCAACAGCGAGCGTTGCCATGACGACGCCCCATCTCTCTCCGTCCGCCCGCGGCCCGAGAGCACGCGCGCTCCATGTTCTCCGTTTGTAGAGCTACCTTTGTATGTGTGCATGCTAAATTCGGTACATAAAAGCGTCGTCGTCGACGGCACACACACACACACACATACACACAATAAGCATAACAAAATTATATAATCGATAACGCGCGCTGCGAGTAGAGTTTGACACAGTGAGTTACAGGGGGAGGATCCGTAATGGCGCATTTAAAGACGTTTCATTTGTCATCTGATTGCATTATGATTGCGCAGCAACCCTTCCTTCTCCCCCATTTCTCTCCTCTCGCTGCGCGCCTGATGAGATCAACTCGATCTGCCCACGAGCCAAGTTCGTTTTATTATATAAAGAGAGAGACGCTTCCAATTAATTTGGCAAACGAGAAAGAGAGAGAAAGACCGAATCAAACGAGCGGAATGCCAATAATAAACGGCCCCGAACGCTACGTCGCTCTTCATATTAGCAAAATTACCAGGAAGAAAGAACAAGGAAAATTAGACAGTTAATTGTTTTTTAATTAAACTACCCGTAGCTGTTAAAATCGTAAATTAAACGTTTTTGTATCATTAATGTATGAAAATTTCCCTAAAATGTAACTAATTACATTTTCGTGGAAAAGGGCTATAATTAATATCCTGAATCTGAAATTAAATTTGAAATTTTGTTATTAAAAGTTTGAAATTTATACTGAATTTGAATTTAAAAATTTAAATTAGATTACTTCCAGAACAAATGATACAATACGGCTGATATAATAAAAGCTACAAGGATTTACAAGGAATTTTTCTTACTAAATTCAATTTGTTAGTATATGAAGCCCTATAATTTAATTTATCATAACGCTAAATAGATCTTTCAATAAAAAAATGACTTGAAATATACCAAAAGTTTAACTTAAATCAACCAGGTGCTTGGAATTTTAGATACGAGCCAAAATTGTGTTTTCACTTTAATATTCCTTTTAACAACTGTTGGTTTTGGTCGCTCTCGGTGGTTCGTCCTGCTTTTCCTCGCCTTTTTACTTTTTGCTCGCAGTGGGAATTTGGCCAACCCCTTGGTCGGCGAAAAGAACTCGCCCGCCGTCGCCGCTTTTAGCAAGTGCAAAGAAAGAAGGAAAAGCTTTAAACGACATTTTAACTGGGAGACTAATGAGTTTTGTATCCTCGAACGGTTCTGCCAAAAGGAGCGAGCGAACGGGAGGGGTAGGTGGGAGGGGGTGCGGGGGGGGCAGGAAGGAAATAAGAAAAGATAAAAGTGAGGCTCTCTCTTGCCTAGTGAATTAGAAAAGCAAAGGCGGGCGCCGGTTTTAAAATACACGGCCAGAGAGAGCGAGCGAGCGAGCAGGAGCACAAAGCAAAGCAAGCCATTCACCGACTAAGGAGCCAATTAGCCGCGACGAGAGCGTTCCTTGGCCTTGCCGTATTCTCGACGCGACCCACAATAAACCAAATTTCGCCCAAGAAGGCTCCTCAACTGAAAGTTGCGCCCACTGTTATTTCTCTTGTGATCTGCAGGGCATTAGGCAGTACACTAGATTCCAGGAATTTCAAGTGTTGGAAAAAATCATCTCACACTCTAGAAACCAAAGCGTCTCGTTGCTCATTAATAATCAGCAAAACAACGTGCAAAATTTTCTGTTGTTGAAGTTCCATTAATTAATGAAATTGATTAAATTGTAAATTATTGTTTGGTCAAAAAATATGGTTTCCCGAAATCCTTGATGAGTTTTAACAAATTCATTTTGACAATATTTAAAACTGTTGCATATTATTATGTTCAATTTTTATTTTTTATGAGGATGTTGATATATCATTTAAAGTGTGTATAGAGATGTAAAACGAAAAGGATGAAGATTTAAATTCAATTCAAATTTCCTTTGCAAGACGAGTTTGTGCAGAACCGCAAGCAAACATCAGCCCGGGAAGACTAAATTTCAGGTTTATATTACCTCTGAACCTGCTCTGAACTGAAACAATCATTGAGCAGTATAAAGTCTGATAAAAACGTAATTTATTAAGGTAACAAAAAAATTGATAAATTAAATTATAATTTTATTTTTACGTTTAAATATGATAAATGCTCTTGATATTGAATTTTTTTCACTGATCCGCATCAATTAAATTCCAGAACGAACGGTGATGGTCTCTTCGTCCTACCTTAACAGTTAATTGGTAATTTTTTTTTTTGTAATATCGCAAATTTGTTTATTTTTCCGTCGTGCTAGACTAATTTGACCCTACTAGCGTTAATGTTGATAGTCTCATTGTCCTATGTATATCTAGAACCGATAAAAAGTTGAAAAATTAATTTTTACTTCTGAAAATAAACCTCAGCAGAAATTTATTAGATTTTTATACTTTTGGTTCTTTCAAAAATTTATTTAACGTGTGCCAGTGAGCCTATTTTTGGCACCTGCAATCATAAATAATTGTCTTTTTATAGTGAAACTTAATATATGAGTCTTTTTCAATTTTATCTGCTTAAATTAGCATTTTTTTAGAAACATCCACAAACCTCAACAAAATAATTCAAATGTACCAGATTAATCACTGCAACTGCTATGTGTTTTTTTAACTTTTATTAATAAAAAATAGTCTGATATCTAATGCAATGTCACCCTTTAAGTAAAAAATGGAATTGCTCTCAAGGTTTAATTATGTTCTCTCTGAGGAGGAAAACTACTTTTGTGCCGGCGGCAAAGGCGCAAATAAATGATGACTTGGCAATAATGGCTCTGTAATTACTCCCGTGACTGTTGCAGTGGCAAAACTTCTTCTTCTTTTCCTGAACGGCGCTGCAAGTTCGCGACCCCGACTTTTGTTGGAATAAGAAGTTAGCAAGTAAGTTGCACTTGATGCCGATTTAATTGCCGAGGACAGAACTCAACGAGAAGTATGAGTGGGATTCAAAGATTTTGCCATTTTTTATTTTTACTTGGCGTCTCGAGAAACAAAGGGTCGTGCAGTCGACTGTGAATTTAATTAGTCTGACGTTCCGCGCGTCAAAGAACGCCGACTTGTGCCTACTGATTGCGAGAGACGCGCGTGCAAATTTAATCACACAAACAAACATACACGCTTAGAGAGTGAAATGCGAACTCGGGTCTTTTGTTGTTGCATGCTAATGAGATGACAACCGCCGAAGTTTGTAGACAATGACACACGCCGCGCATCATATCTCGCAGCATAATAATAATGACGAAACTTCACCTCGTCGTCCCATAGAGAGAGAGTCAAACTTTGGTCCGACGCTATGGATTCTGAGAAAGCTCTCGAATTGGCTTAGTGCAGCAGAGAGCAAACCCTTGCTCGTTACATAGGAATGACCAAAGAGATGGACTTGCCAACAATTAATGGAAAAGTTTTAGTCGGTCAAAATTATATAATGTTTCTCTAGCCGGCCTCAAAACTTATTTTACTGGCTAAAGATGAAGAGGAAGGGAAAATACAAATTTTCGTTGATTAAACTGGAATTTATTATGATTATGATTATAAATAATTAAGATACCATTGAAATTTTCTATGTAAAGATAGAGTTCAAAAGTTTTAGGAAAACCATTTGAAGAAAAGTTTCTCTTCAAATAAAATATTGTGCCTACTGCCTTCATTATTTTTACTTTTTTTAATCAAACAGGTTTCTTTGACATTTAAAATTCTATTTTTTCGCTGGCTTGCAGCATCTTCTCTTTATTTTAATTTCTTTTTATTAAGTTCCAGAGCAATGAATTTATAAAATGTATAAAGTCCGCTACAAATTCACACCATTTTTTAAGTTTGAGGAATACTTTCCATTAAATAATTAATTTTCCTTCTTTTCAAGTCTTGACTATTTTGTCCTTATCAAATTGCAAATGAAACAAAAGTCATTAACCAACAGTGCTACTAAATTTCCACACAGACCGACTCTGAATGCAATTATAAAAAGTTAACAAATCTCATCTAAATGATAAAAATTACCCATTTTTGGCTCTAACCACATTAAACATTGTGCCAACTTTATTCGAAATAACCCTCCATTTACTCTTGATATGAAAACTCGTGTAAAATGTATTGCTTCAGAACTTGAGTCTTGTGTATAAAAACCGAATACATTTGCCTTGTTCCTGAACTCAAATGAGAACGGTAGGTGCCATCAAAAAGTTTTGGTCGACACAGAAAAGCGCCGGCTCACTTTTGGCAGCGAGCATTTTTGGTATGCAAATTTCTGGACGCTGAAATGCAAATTGCCGGCTGATTATCATAGTTTAGGAAGGCGCGAAAGC